GCCTGTTGGAGCAGCAGCCTCTGCCAGTGCACGATTGGTTCTCCACTGCACCTTTTCCAGGTGCCCTTCTCAGTGTAACCTTATGTCCCAAATTGCTCTCTAGAACTTTTTCAGCATTTCCCCCCCCATTCCTTACACGTCGTAATGCTGCGTTTGCTCTGTTGCCAGCAGCTGTACGTTGAGGAGCGAGATTTTCATTGAGATGTGGATGATGATGTGCAGGCCACGTTCCCTGAGTGGTGAGTTGAGCTTATTCCCTCCCAGGTGCATTGCTTTGCATGTGCCAGCACTGGATTTCATTGGCTCTGATGTTGCTCATTCACCGAGCTTGGTTAGGTCCCTCTGAAGTTCTTCAGTCTTCTCCGGTCTTGAGTCACCTAAATAAGGGCTGGATCCGAAACCTTTGGAAATAAAGTGGAGCCTGGCCGTGGACTTCACGTAGCTTTGGCTCATGCCTTAATTCTGTGTCATCTGCAAACTTGGTCAGCTTACTACTCGTCCCCTTGTTGAGATCGTTAATAAAATGCAGCCTACGAGGTGGAAGGTGTGGGTGCCGTCGGGGGAGAGACTGGGGCAGGTAATCTTTCGCTGGCCTAAAACTCCTGTAAAAACCTGCAACCCCCAAAGGACAATGGCCCAGGAAGCTGAGCAGCTCTTCATTTTTAGCAGTGTATGGTGTCGGGATGAAATAGCTTTGGACTTAGCCCCAGGTCTGATGGCTTGACGCCACGTAAGGAGGGAGCTGGTGCTTGAAGTGACAATTTGCTGACTCGTCACGGGACATTTCTGTTTCTCAGGCTGGGATTTCACGCCGAGAGCAGCTGACGCTGCTGTGAAATGGATGGCAGCCATCTGTGGGGTGGGGACTGCTGGCTATTTTAGGAGAATACGTTTCCTTTTTTCTGCAGCCTGTTAACGAAGGGAGGAAACATCTTGGCTTTGGGTTTTGTAAGAAGTGAAGACCCTCTGTAAAGCCACAGTGGGCATACCAACCCTAAGCTGTATGGAGCCCCTGGCTCCAGGATAGTTCGGATCTAGAACCAAACTCTGGGGCCTGAGCCACATCTCGAGACTGTACAAACCTCCGTGATGCGGTCTGCAGACCCGCACTAAGGCTACGGGGGTGATGGAGCAGGCCTGGGCTGGTAAAGGCCCTGTCCCTCAGCAGCTGCAGAGCACGCTCCAGATGGAGGACGTGCTTAGGAGGGGATGCTGAAGTCAAGCTGGGGGATTGTGAGGGAGAGGCTGTCTGCGGGTAGGAAGCCAATCAGTAGCTTCTGGGACAGAGGAATCCACAGCGGGCCCGGGCTGTGGGTACGGCCCGACCAGGCGCCTGACCCCTTTCCCCCTTGAATTCCCCCCAACAAAGGAATCACTGGGCACTGGGACGGGGGCTGGGAAGTGCCGATTGTCTGAATCGTTGAGACTGCTTGAGCAACCCTCCGCCAGACTGTGACCAGGCCCCAAACTGAGGGGAGAACAGAGGAGGTAGGAAGTGGCCAAGGGGAGGTTGGTCTGTGGTATCAGCTAGAGGGGACTGAGACCCTCCTCACCTCTTCCCCCTCGGGCTCTGGACTGGGACCTATTGGCGAGGGAGGGCCCATTCCCTTGCCCCTTGTCCGACCAGGGGAACCTGGAGAAGGACAGGCTGTAACTTGGCCACCAGCCCCTCAGATTGCCCGATAAGGCTATCCCAGGATTTGGGATTTTGGGACTGCCGGCCCCTAACTGAACCCTGCTCTACCCTTGTGTGAAGAGACCTGGCTTCCAGGTTGTATATGAACACACAGGGCTTCGTGATTGGTTTAAAGTAGCTGTTCATCTGCTGCATTGTGAACCTGAACACCGGGGCACTGGGGCTCAGTGGAGAGAGAGACTGGACTGGAAGTTGAGACCCTGCTTCCATTCTGTGGCCTGCAAGTGACTTCAGGCCAGTCACTTGGGGGCAGTGCTTTTGAGATCCAGGGCTGAAAAGTGCTATTCTGGGCACTACAGTAGTGGCCAGAGGCCTTGTTGATCTGGGCACTATGCACATGCATAGGAAGAGATGGTCCCTGCACTAAATCTAATTTAAGACAAGACTTGACAAGTGGACGGACCAAGCGATCCCAGGGGAGAGGGTGATGAGAACGCAGGGCTGCTCTCAGCGCACTGCAGGTGTCAAGCCAAAGGGTTTCTGTTGTTGAGGGTCTCCGGGTCTAAGCACAAAAGCCTGAATTCGTCTCTCTTACACACAGAGTCAGAGCTCCACCTGTGTGAGTGGAATTTAACCCTATGTTGTTAGGATTGGTGCATGAGAACCAGGAAGTGAAACTGACCAGTCTAGCTTCATCAGCCAAACAGCGTGAAATGGAAATAAAGGAAACAGATGACGGCAGTGGAAAGAGATTATTGATATTACTGTAAAGGTTTCCCAGATAACTCATACACACGCAGCTGGGTAAGGGCCGGTTCTCTGCTCACACCTGATTAATAACAGTGTACCTCTGCCAAGACCTCTTATGGGCCTTAGCCAGGTCAAGGGCTCCATTGTGCGCTAGGCACTGCACAAACCCATAGTAAATGACAGAGCCTGTCCCCAATTGTTGTATCATTGTAACTAGGCCTGGCTGAAAATTGTCTTTCATGGGAGCTGTGGTTCTTCTGTCAGCTGGGCTATATTGCCCATCATGCCTCAGAGCCAGGGACTCCCATGATGCAATGCCTCCCCTCTGCAAGAAGGGAGACTGAGGTGCATCATGGGTGATGTAGTCAGACCTGGGAAACTGAAATATTTGGGGTTTTCAGCCTAAAATATTTGGTACTCACATTTGTGCAGAAAATAAACATCTGTGGGAAGAGAACCACAGGGAGCTGAGGAGAGTCAAGCTCAGGATATTTGAATAGCTTCGGCATCTGCCTCAGAAATGGAGATTGTCTCCTGCCTGTGGGAAGGATCAAGTGGCCCCGTCCCCGAACCCTCTGACTTTAGCTAACCACTCAGCTACACAAATAGCCTTGTATTCACTGGAGAGCAGCTCTTCACGCTGGGCTAGCAGTTTTCTGGAATGGGCCACTGCTGTCTTTTTCAAGAATTAAAGCGAGACCTAGAACGTCGGTGACCTCATGGGAGAGAATCAAGAGGGGACAAACCACAACAGCAATGAGATTTGCAAACAAACAGAATTTGCTACGGCGACGTCCCCTGCTCCCTACACCCTGGAGAAGCTTGTGTGAGGCTCATGTCCTGAAACAAACGGTTGCCTGTTTCCTCCCATCTTCCTCCTCCTCATATCCCCAGCACATCACAGAGTGCAACCCAGGAGTTCTCGGTCCCAGTCCTCACCTCTGCCACCAACTCTCTGTGTGACCTTGGACAACTCCCTGCGTCTCTGTCCCTGGGATCGCCAGCTGCACAATGGGGGTATTTCTTTTTCCTTTCTTCTGCCTTCTGTCCATTTGGGTTGTAAGTTCTCTGTGGAGGGGACAGTCTAACCAGTGGCACCCTGATCTCAGCTAGGGCCTCTAGGTGCTACTGTAATACCAGGCACTGGATTCGGGGTGCTCTTACATGTGCACAAAGCTCATTTTTGCATCTCTTGAGACAACCATATGGTTTGAAGAGGCTCTGGATGGGGTGAGTGGGGTCACTGAGCGTTCTCGCTCTCTGGTGCTTGCCTGGCTGGTTCTTTGCGATGTGCTCAGGGTCTAGTTGATCGCCCTGTGTGGGGTCGGGAAGGAATTTCCCCCCTGGTCACATGGGCACTGACCTTTGGGGGTGTTTTTTTTTCTCCTTCCTCTGCAGCATGTGGGTGCAGGTCACTCGCTATCATCTGGGTATGTCTCATTTAATCATTTGCCCACCATGGCAGGGGCCTTGGTGCACCTTGGAGCCTCCTGTTCTCTGCCTATGGCATAGTCCAGTCTCCTGTGGGCTGTAATACGTTGGTTGCTAATTTGGGTTCCTGGGTTTATATACAGGAGGCCAGACTGGATGACCTAGTCCCGCCTCTTTTCCATTGTCTCCTAAAGGCGCATTGAGCTTGTTCTGTTCAGATGTGGTCCATCACGCGTCACTGTATGGTTTGAAGCTTATCTAATGGGCTCATGTGGCTGCATCCATACCCACCAAGGCTTCCCCAGTCCGCCTACCCAGCCCGTGCCTAGTAAGTGAATAAACAAGCTGTGTCAGGCCAGCAGGGGGCGTCAGGGGCAGTAGCTCTAGCATCTCTGCTCACCTGTGCAAATGCCAGGGGTCATCAGGAGGGTTTAAACCCAGGCCCTTAAACACCACACCGCCGACATCTGCTGCTTGCGTTAAAGGAGTAACTCCGTCCGCTGGCAGCAATGGTAGGTTGTTCTCACTAGAGGGGGATGTGACACACGCTATGTTCATGTACATTCCAGTATGGCGTGACTGAAGCTCGGATGTGCACCCGAAGCATGAGGGGAGCTCTGACCTGCACCCAAATTAGAAGCCAGTGCTGGTTACAAGGCACCTACTTTCCCCAGGCACAGAACTTTGCTAAGCACTGGGAGGCCGTGTTCTGCAGTAGCCATGTTCCACTCCAGAGGTGGCTGCATTTCAGCTGGGGGAGGGGGGGAGCAATTCCAGTCTCTCTCGTCTGTAAAGCCCTTCGGATGCAATGTGCCGTAGTGGAAGATGGTTGTTAATAAGAGGCTGATCAGGGGTGAGTTCCGAGGGCAGCGCCGGAGTGAGACCGGTTGTGCATTGTCCTGCAAGCCAAGCAGCCAGAGTGGGATGGGTTCTGCCCAAACCCAGCTGTTTGGCATCAGAAAGAGAAGGGTCACAGAGCATTTCTAGGAGACACAAACTCCCCTGCGTGGCCAGCTCCCGAGCACACACACACACTCTGGAGTTCACAGGCCACGAGCAGAGCCAGCCCCCTGCTCTCATGCAGCTCTGGGCAGTCGGAGTGGAGATGATGATTATTATTGCCTGAGCCTGTTACCACACTGGCTGCAGCAGCTGTGCACGGCTCCGTCCTGAGCTGTGCAAGGCTGGAGTAGGAGGCAGTGTTGCTCAGAGCCGAGCGAGGGTGGATCTCTCGCCATAGAAGCAAGAGGGGAAGCTGTCAGTGGGAGAGATGGAGCAGCCGTGTATGCGAGCAACCTCCCTCTAAGGGATCCTCTGTGTGCGTGTGTGTGTGTGTGTGTCCCTGTGCCTTGGATTTCCGCCTGTGCCCCTAATCTCATGGCTGGTTTTACATCCGTGCACAACAGCTGGGCTTGTTCCATTCTGTGATCTCCAGAAACAAAGGCACTTCAGAGCCGGACGGACACACGCCCAGCCGCCTTGTTGTTATTAGACACGGAGGAAGGCGACAGCCCCGTGGAGTTCTCTGCATCGTCTGCAGCCGGGGTCTGCGTGTTTGTGCGGGGGAGAGCACGAGAGGCCGTTCCTGCCTAAAGAGACCGCTTCCTTGGCTCGCTCCACATTAATATCTAGTAATTTTCCACACCTCTCTGCTCCTTCCCTGACTCCCTGACAAGTGGCTGGAAGGTTGGCCTGGGCCATGGGAGACAAAGGAACCAGGTTGGTTAATATTGTTATTATTCTGCTGCAGATGGTGATTCTGGCTCTTGCATTATTTGGATGTTTGCTGGACCGTAGTTACCGCTATAATCCCGCTGCATTTCTATCCACTAGGATTTTTTTTTTTAGGGGTCGGGGGGGGCGGGGGGGGGGAGATCTAGGCATTTGCTTTGTGTGCAGAGCAGCAGAGCGGTGTGTGGTATTTAATGGCACAGGAGAGAGAACGCAGACTCCAAGCAATCCGCTCTCCGATGAGGCATTCTCTACCTAATGCACATTCATAGCCCAATGAATCACACATTATCCTGGGCTCTCGCTCTCGGGAGGCATCTGCCGCTAGCCAGGGTGCCCGGCGTCCGTCGCTTTGTTCGACCGGAGCGCTGCAGCTCCAGCCCTTGGGAGATGAGACAGCGGAGGCTTGAAAAACGGGACTTTTCAAAAGCGGGTGGTTTTCTCCCTGGCCTGGTTCCCCGCCGGGGAAGAGATGAGTAGAGAGGTGGCGGCTTTGCAGTGAGCAGCTCCCTCTCCCGGGCTGTTTGCTGGGGTTGTTGACATGCTGGGGCAGTTGCGGGGTGGTCCCATTTTTGGGGGGCGGGCTGCATTTCCCAACTGGAGGCATTTTCCCTTTTCAGCTCTGGCTTTGCCTGGACCCAGTCCAGGGCAGTGTGGGCTGCTGAGGAATCCTTGTGCATGTTGATTTCCTTTCAGAGCCAAGCCCCTGCTGGTCTCTTGCCTGGGGGAGCAGGGCTGGCTCCCCTGTTGAGTCAGGGACTGCACAGCTGCTGGCTGGGGGGGTCTATGGAAGCTGGGTCTGTGCCCCCCTGCGAATCGTAGTCGCTTTCCCACCTGGTCTCTCCAGAACACAAAGCAAAGGGGATCAGGGCTGGTTGGCGCCAGGCCACGTTTAGATTCATGGCCCGGTCACTGAGCGCAGATGAACACGGCGCTGTCCTTGCAATTGGCTGGCCTGCTTTGGGGCTTTGCCGTCTCGTCTGGGAGCTCGCAGGGCGGCACTAAGGCGGGGTCCCTTTGGGGAGGGGGATTCATGGTCACCCCCCACTCCCTGTTCATGTGTGGTGCAGCTGGCCCGCTCGGCGATGTTGCGGTGGGGATGAGCCATGAGTCTCATTCAGTAGCATGTGCAGCGTTACCTAGTTAGTTTTGCCAGAAGCTGGGAACGGGCGACAGGGGGTGGATCGCTTGATAATTACGGGGTCTGTTCATTCCCTCTGGGGCACCTGGCACTGGCCAGGGGGCTTGTAGTAGGTGGGTGGAGTCGGTGCTGGGGAGAGTCTCCAGGGGACAGCTATCAGCCCTGGGCAACTTGAACTGCGCTGCCGCTTCCCACGCCGTACCTGATGCTCAGAGGTTTGGATCGGGGGCATGTTTCAAAATCCCCTCCCAGAGCTGCCCCTCCTCCTCCAGGGAGGATGGTCTAGTGGCTAAGACGCTGCTCTGGGACGTAGGAGCTGTTAGTTCAATTCGTGGCTTTACCATAGACTCCCTCTATGACCTTGGACACTGCGCCTCTCTGTGCCTCAGTTTCCCCACCTGCAAAATGCAGATAAGAATCCTCCCTTTTCCCCACCCACCCCTTGCAAGCTCTAGAATAGGGACTGTCTCTTACTAGGTATGTGTACAATAGGGTCCTCATCTCAGAGTGCATAGGTTTTAGGAGGTAGGCCCGTCACAAAAATTAGATCCAGCTTACGGTTTCAAGCCCCTTTCCCTCAGTGGATTATTCTATATACATAAAAATTGATTCATCCATAGCTAAAATGCACCTGTTGTTTTACTCATAACTGAAATGCAGCCACTTCTGGGGTGGGATTGTGGCAGCTGGTTAACAGCTCACAGCAACACTACACAACAGTGTGGGAAAAGAAGGAGACCATCCGGCTGAATCTTGTGAAAGAGGGCACCCCCTAAAGCCAGGTGGGACCGTTGGTTCAGTACAGACTCAAGAGGCAGAGAGGGACACAACTGTACTCTGATAGTGCAGGAGCGAACTGTAATACACGAATGATTCTCTCCTCTAGCGGCTGGCCCAAAGACAGGAGAAGGGACCAAATGCTGGAATTGTAAAGGTCTTTGAGTGCTTGAATCCCTTTAAAAATCTGGCCTTGCTACCGTCATTAGCTAAGCCAGTGGTTCTCGAACTTTTGTACTGGTGACCCCTTTCCCAGAGCAAGCCTCTGAGTGCGCCCCCCCTTATAAATGAAAAATACTTTTTTTATATATTTAACAGCATTATAAATGCTGGAGGCAAAGCGGGGTTTGGGGTGGAGGCAGACAGCTCGCGACCCCCCCCCATGTAATAACCTCGCAACCCCCTGAGGGGTCCTGACCCCCAATTTGAGAACCGCTGAGCTAAACGAACTGGATTCCCTTTGTGGCATATTGCACAGACATGTTGTTGGGGTTTTAAATCTATTTATTGTTTGGATTTTGCTGCTAACTGTCTTTCATATTTAATTCTCTGATTTCTAAGCACAGAGCTGCCTGTCTGGGGAGTGCAGTCCAACAGCGTTTCCTTGCTACCATACGTCGCACTGTTATTTATTTGTATTGCGATAGCACGTAGGAGGCTCAGTCTTGGGCCAGAGCCCCATTGTGCTCGGTGCTCTTATAAACACGAGAGGGCCTTGTGCCAGGCCCCGAGAGCAGTTCTGTTGGCGTGACTCTACCAACCTGACAGAAGTGTTACCGAGAAACTGTCAGACTGGATCCTAAAGTTGAGCCTGAGGGAGATTTTCAAGCCACAAATGGAAGTGCCTTTGAAAGTTCCCCCCTTTGTGCTTGAAATAAAAAGGGGTAGACTGGAGACTCTCCTTTCGCTGTTAGCAGTATAGGGCCTAAGACACACACTGGAGCAGTTGTGAGTCCATCCAGCAGAGGGCGTTGGTACCAGCCTGGATGCGCGCACGCACACACACTATGGATAGCGTTTCCAGGAACTGGAAGAACTAGTCCGCAATGAGAAGTACACGAACTCTGAAAAACTCCCGTGAGTCAAGAACCTTGTGTGAGATCAGATGGTTGCGTTGCTCTTAAAACCTTTGATAACACAGGGCCAGCCCTTGTGGCCAGCCCTGCCGTGCTACTTTAGGATGCCTGTGTGCATACGTACACAAACACACGCACCCCGTCCAACCATGGGAGGGAAAGGGTTAAGGCTGTCCAGCCTGATGCTTTGTAGTCACTGAGCTAAGGGACTGAGCAGGATTCCTCTCCTGAGGTTTCCCTTTCACCGGGATCCCCCTTCTGCACCGCTGTGTGTGATTAATAATTTAGGCCCCAGGTACTTAAGGGATGGTCTCTTCCCATATGTTCCTCCAAGGCAACTGAGCTCAGCTGGCTTGTCTCTATCCTCCACTGGAGATCAAGCTGGGACAAGTTCAGCTGCCCAACCGTCTCCTCCCCTGTGAGGAAAGTGCCATCGCACCTGGGGAAACTGAGTCACGGAGGTTATTGTGCTGAGAAGAACCAAATTCTGCTGCCTGTAGGCCTGGTGCACCCTGCCTCTCTCCCTGCGGCACTACTCTGTGGACTGAATCATTTATGCCCAAGGTACTTAAGGGACCGTCTCACTCCCCTTCCATCCCGCCTAGGCAGCTGGGCTTCTGCTGCCCTTCTGCTGATTCGTGTCTGTGCTGGGCCAGTCAGGCTGGGATGTCTGTTGTAACCCCTTCCACGGCCACACACAAGGAGGGGGTGGGTGTTAGGATGCGCGTGTGCAGGGGATGGGGGTGCTGTACCCAGTGTGTGTGGGGGGGGTGCCGTAGTACCCAGTGTGTGTGTTTGTATGTGGTGGGGGGAGGCGCCGTACCCTGTGTATGTGTCTGTGTGTGTGTGTGTGTATGTGTGGGGGAGGGAGCGCCGTACCCAATGTGTATGCAGGGTGATGCTATACCCAGTGTGTGTGGGGGTGGTGGGGGCGAAGCTGTACCCAGTGTGTGTGTGTGGGTGGGGGGGGCGGAGCTGTAGCCAGTGTGTGTGGGGGGGGGGGGGGCGGGGCCGAGTGTGTGTGGGGGGGTGGGGTGGGGGCGTTCTCCACCCAGTGTGTGTGTGTGTTTGGAAAAGAGACCACTAAGGGGGGATATGATTGAGGTCTATAAAACAATGAATGGGATGGAGACAGTGAACAGGGAAATGTTATTTACCCCTTCACATAACACAAGAACCAGGGGTCACCCAATGAAATGAATAGGCGCAAATGTTTCGCGGCGCAAGTGCTGGGAGGGAGGGGGGAGAAGCAGGACTCGGCGGCGCGCTCAAGGGAGGAGGCGGAGGTGGGCTGGAACAGGGGGGCGGAGCAGGGCTCAGCACCCACTAATTTTTCTCCGGGGGTGCTCCAGCCCCGGAGCACCCACGGAGTCGGAGCCTATGCCTAGAACCCTAGAGGAGCAAACATCCCCGGCATTTCTAGAGGGGCCCTGTCCAGCCTGAGATGTCAGGAGCAACTTGTAGAGAAACCGATGGGATTTTCCTAGGACACGGCAGGTTTCAGCCCTGCTCAGTCCTCTCAGAGGGTTCTCTGAGGGCACTCAGCAGCAGGGATGGGCCTGCCCTCAGGGAGAGCCCACAGAGCTCATGCATCCCCTGAGATCTGCCCGGTCTGTCTGTGAGACAAGAGAGCCAGAGCCCTGGTTTCCCTGCTGCCCACAGCGTGGAAGTCTGGCCCAGTTAGGGGGCCAGCCTGGGACTTGGGAGACCAGCGTTCAATCCCCACCTCTGCCACAGACGCCCTGCATGACCCTGGGCAAGTTGCTGAGGGCCAGGTGGCCAGTGGGGCTGAAGGGCTTGGGAAAATCCCCCCTCTTTGCAGGCCCCTTGATATCTTTGTCAAGCGGCCTATGCTGCCTGTGCCTCAGTTCCCCATCTGGGCTACGGGGGTGGGGACACCACCCTGCCTCCCAAGGGGCTGTGAAGAAAAACACATTGGGTGATGGGGCCCTGTAAATGCCTCCACAGGGATGGGGCTGTGCCTTAGCGGAGGT